GATGTTTTGCTCGCACTTGAAATTAGAAGAGGGAAGGGGTCCTTTAATGTCATTCACTCATTATAATTTATTTTTATTTTATATAAAATAATAGAGAAATGTACATTATGTCACAGAGTACAAAATATAATTAAAATATAAATAGTAATAGGTAGTTATTAATAACGTAATTTTCAACTTGTCTGCAAAGTGCAGGCAGGTTAAAAGGAACTCAGACTCATGCTGCGATGTATTGATGAATGGCATATGATACCCAACTGCTTTTCTATTAAATTAATGTCTTTGAGGAATTCTAGACGTATCAGTACAGTACATAATTTTTATTTAATAAGGCATTTAGTTCCACTGTCCATGTACATAAAATATCATTAATAGACAAGTATTCTAACTAGAGTATCCTCATGTAAATTGGAAAGGACTAGTCTTTCATGGTTAGGCGAGAATGTTTCATTAACCTAAATTCTTAATACTATTATCGAGCTGTTTGCTTGGTATTTTTATAAGTAGGTTTCCGACAAATGCAGTACATAAATATCACTATCTTTGGTAATTTCATCTTAAAACTACTTTACAATGAGTCATGCTGTTTCAATATGTCTCTTGCTGAACAAAAAAATCAGATCTTTTAACAGGAATACTTTCATACACTTGTAAAACCAACACAAAGTGGCACTGCTTGTACAAAAAATCACTCTGATTTTCTTTATTTGCATCTTAGCCGAAAAGAAATATAAACTTGAAATCTTTCACAAGCTTGGGCCAACAGTGTCAAGAAAATGGGTTTGATTGGAATCTCATAAATAGAAATAATAATAATAATTTACTTGCGCCGCTACTGTCGAGTAAATTCCGCTACGGTAGCGGTACGGTACATAATTATTGTTTCTTTGGCATCCATGAAATTCTATATGTAAAATTGAGTTCCTCCAGGACAAACAATGAGTAAACAGTATTATCTCTGCATAAGCAAGTAAGAAGAAAGCAACCTGAACTGTGGAAGAACAAGTCGTGGATGAACAACTTTTTTATTTCTCTTCAAATTTTGTACTTGGACAGATTTAGCCTTTTAAACCCAATAAACACTCATTTCTAGTCGTACGGCCATAATACGTTTTCCTGGTTTAACTTAATGGCTTATAAAAAGGTAACACTGTGCCCGCCCCCACAAATAGCAAGGTCAAAGAGATGGCGATTCTAACATTGTGCCCATAGTTTTTACCAAGATTATGTTTTTATTATAGGATTTTTTGCATAATAGAGTTGATGATATGTATTTATTGTACTGAAATATGAAATAAACTCCAATCGGGAGACGTTATATTCACTTATATTCGAGCATTATCCTAATTTTCTCTAACCCTAATGAATTAATCAGCGACAGTTGCCAAAAAGTATTTGTCTTGTCGTGTAGCTAGATGTAATTAAAGTTGCATATCGCGAAACCCAAATCCTCGGGATAACTGAAGTAGTTGACAAGCGCGGTCAGGGTTGTTATTGTTAGCAAAAACACTGCTAACCTGCGGATTTTTTCATCAACAGTGTTCGACTGAAAATTGAAAACTATTTATCTAAAAACTAATATTTGGAATTTTGCGACACAAAGTGAACCTTTCCTGCATATCAAGTTGTGATTTTGACGGTCGTACTTGTACTGGTCATTTCTGTGGATGAATACCTTCCTACTTGTTTGTTCAACATTTTTTTTGTTAGTAATGTTTTGATATTTATGAATGTTAAGTTTTTGTAGCCGCAAATTACTCTTGAAACCATCCGATATAAATCAAACGAGTACTAGAAATAACTTCCGAGTTTAATATCAGGGACCCACCTGCGCCCCTGAGAATCCTTGCTACGCCACATTGCGGCGCCCAACGTGGGTCTGATTCACCAGAAGTTTTACCTTTCCGAAAAATGACTGAAAACGACAAAACTCCAGGATATAACACGAGGACAAGAAGTTCACTAAATTATGCCAGACTGAACGTTGATTCGAGCCCAAACAACAATGATTCGTTGAGAAAGTCTCCCACGACTAGCAATTCGGATATGATTCAGATATCTATCGGGACTATTCCAAAAGTACTGCCCATCAACCTCCGTAATGTTACTGCAGCGTAATACTGTTTTTACGCAGACACGGAGTTCCCAGGCAGCTGGATTACAATATTTTTCATCTCGCAATAGTTCAAATTCGTTTAGTTCACCTGTACCTGGTGTAGATTCACCTGGTGTGAGGCCAGTCCAAATCATTTACTTCGAGCCACATTTACATCAATTTGTTTTCCCTTCAGAGAATTCACCTATGAAGGAACGACAAAATGTTGCTCTTCCTTATCATCAGAGGAAAAACTCGTTAGAATTGTAACCCATGTCGTTGATAGACATGGGTTACATGGGTAATTCAATCGAAGATAAGTAGTAGTCATTTCAATAATGGTCAATGTTTCAATAATGTTAATTTACCTGGTGTGAATTTTACAGAATACCAAAATGTAGACGATAGAAATATTCTATTTCACTCTGGGGTTCTTCTCAAAATCGAGATGTAGAAAAAACGGTTCATATAAAAGTTGTAGATCTTCATATTGCCTACTACAGCTTACACAATTATTAAATTCAGTTTCAGTTGAAATAGTGGAAAACATCATTTCCACCCCTAAAACTCATTTTATTTCATATCCCAAACCTGGATTAAATTTAATTCTTTCTGTTATAAGTACGACATACTCTACCCTTTCAATACATTTAATGAAGTTATTTTTTCATTTTATGCATTTTCAACAGGTTTCTGCAGTTGTCTAAACTTGATAAAAACGTTGAATATAGCCCTTAATTGGTCATCATTCAGTTTTATAGCCGCCATAAGTTTACCAAACATACTGTTCTCAAAAGAAGATTTTCTCGGAGAACAAGGCTGGGAACTCTCCAGCTGATCGATTATTTCTTTATTAAAAATGGACCCTTCAAAAACCTATGGATGTTTTGCTCGCACTTGAAATTAGAAGACTCATAAATAGAAATAATAATAATAATTTACTTGAATTATGAAACGGAGGAACATTGAAAAAGAGCTCAAACATAGTTTTAAAAACTGCTTACGAAATACAATTCATTCAACATTACAGAAATTGAGAAAAAACTAATTATAATGGCGCACACTGCACCTATGTAACACAAACGTGAGCTGCCTGATAATATGCAAAGCATAATTCAACAGAATCAATTTACTGTATGACTATACTACATTGGTGCATTGAAGAAGTGATATGTGGCTAGCTAGCATTGAGTTGTTGCCGCTCCATTAGTAGGACACCCACTCACATATCCGTTGGCAGTTGCTATTACACCAACACCACTCTCAGATATGCTGGGGAATTGATGATGGGTGTCGATATCTAACTCATCTGAATCTTGCGAATGTGAAGGGGTATACCCTCGAAGTTTCTCAGCAACTTTACGTAGGGGTGTTGATTGGTCATCTTTGCTCGCTGAAGAGGTGGATCGTGATGCTCTTGCCTCGACTCCTGCGGGACTATGATAAAAGGATACCTTTGAAAATATCGGACTTGCATCATCCAACAGCAACTGACAAAGTTTCAGAAATGATGGTCTAGAAGTTGGTTTATGTTGCCAACAATATCTCATCAAGGTATATAATTTATCTGGACAGTTTTCAGGTCTCTCCATCACTCCTCCATCAATAACATATCGCAGTACTTGATCGTTTGAAAGACCCTGGTATGGTTGTGATGCGAGAGTTGCCATTTCCCATAGGACAACACCGTAGCTCCATACATCACTACTACTTGTGAACACGCCATCTTTGAGACTTTCAGGGGCCATCCATCTGACAGGTAAGAGGCCCTTTGTCCCTTTTCGATAATAATCTGTCTCGTAAATATCTCTGGTCATTCCAAAGTCTCCAATTTTAACAGTCAAATCCTCAGAAACCATGCAGTTTCTTGCAGCCAAATCTCGATGTACAAATTTTTTTGCCGATAAATATGCCATGCCATCAGCTATTTCAATAGCCATTTGTAAAATTTGTTTCAAAGATGGAGGATGCTTAATGAGATTAGGATTATAATTTTCCACATCTGGTCGGTGTGATCGAAGATACGACTTCAGATCTCCATTTGCCATCAGCTCCATTATTACCAAAGTAGGCTGCCCTTGAGACACTACTCCCAGTAACCTCACAACATGTGCTGTATCGAATGCCTTCATCACAGACGCTTCATTTAGAAATTCGAGTCTCTCTCTGTAAAAAAAAAACATTTAGATTTTTCTTGAGAATATGTGGTACTAGTAGCAGTATTTATTTGTACAAGTAATGGAGTTTTACAACTAGACTCCAGACATCCCCAGAAGATAGCGAATGAGACTTTGCCGAAATGTTGTGAAAATTATACTTATGAAGGGGTTGTTTTTCCAGTTTTCATTCCGTGTTCTGTGTTTTTATTCCTCACAAGGATCATATTCTCGATGTTTCGGACGATGGTCTGAATTTTGGACCTAGACTAGGTCTAGATCAAAATGCAAAGACTTTGCCCTTTCATTATACTTAAGTGTTCACCACTGTACGTATTGGCCTGTGAGGGGCAGAGCCTGTTCATGATACTGATAATGTATGGGTAGATGAGAGAGAATATGTTCCATGCCTCAACGTTTTGAAAAAACAATATTTCCACAACAATAAAAATGTTCCTTTAAACCTATTCATAAAATATGTGTAAAATTGATGGAAAATTACACAAATTTAAAAAAACATCTGAATCAAAGTACTACACACAACTAGTTTATTTCCTAAATGACTTCAGTGTTTTAGTGAAAATCATTATGGAATATTCAAGACAGTTCAATAATGTTGACGATATTTCAGTTGGGTAATAGATTAAAACTTACCTTTCAGGAAGTTACGAAAATGAAATATATAAAGAACCCAAAAAATATCAAATATTTAATTTATTGCAATTATTAGATAATGCTTTTCATAATCTTTATAAATGATTCAATTCGAAAAAAAAAAACAATTCTCTCAAGTATAAGACACTTCTTCGACTTCTTCCAAAAGAGGATCTGTTGGCTACTCTGTGTATTTGTCATTACGTCATATGTAGATGACTTCTGACATTTTGAGTTTTATTTACTGTTTGAAAGTCATTTTAATTGTATTTATTTTTCCTTCATATCAATGAGGATTTTGTTTAAAGCACATGTAATATGGCTACTTCGTATTTGTCATTAGTGTCAGTTGTAATATATTTTCAATTGAAAATTTTTGAGTTTCATTCACTCTTTTTATTGTATCAATTTTCTATTCAGTATTTTTCATATTTGGTGAAGGTAACGACGTCAACAATTAGCATAACTGACTCGAATGACACATAAATCGAATGGCCCACAGAAAAATACAGGTTTTCCAAATGAAATCACGATCCGATGTGGTCTATTGGTGGAGTACTTACAATTTGTGGAAATAAAACTTATGAAGTATTTGCACAATATAGAATTTATGAGTAACCGACACTCCGAATATGAAAATGTTGAATGTGAAAAAAATGTAATGCAAACGGGACATACCTATCAGTAGCATGTTCGTTAACCGTCTTAACAGCACATCTGATTAGGAAAATGGTAAATATGAGAAAACTGTAAATCAAACAGGCCATACCTATCAGTAGCATGTTCATTAACTGTCTTAACAGCACATCTCAGTTCTGATTTTCCTCTGATATCATGGGCCAATCCCTCCCAGACCATTCCAAAGCTGCCTTGACCTACTTCCTTGATCAAATCAATTTTTTTTCTTGAAACCTCCCATTCATCTGGTATGTAAACGCTGGGAACATATTCTGGATTTACAGTCTGAAAAAGTCTAAGACTCTCTCTCTCTTTCTGATGTTTCCTATAAAGCCATCCCAAAAAGAATAAAACCTGGAAAAAAGTAATTTGAATTGAGTGCTGTTTAGTTATTGATGTAATTTTTACTTACAGACAAAAATACAAATAAGGTGACGCAAACAATGAGAACAGTATTTGATGATGGCTCTTCGATATAGAAGTAAATGACTTGCGAATATCCCACACCTGCAGATGAAGTTGCTTTAACAACTAAGCTATAGTTGCCAGCAAATAGTTTTGAAATTGTATAAACCACTGTTTTATTCTTATCCTTTGCATTGACACATTCAGAATATGGCCTTGACTGGAAAAATTAAATTCAAATACTGGACTTTGAAGTAACATTGAAAACTTACATTTTCGATATCAATATTTTGGTATTCCACAGAATACATAGATATTTGACCATTTGGATCCTCAGGCTGCTCCCATGATATGGTTATACTATTCATACTCTGATTGGTTATCTGGACTTTCCCAATTTTTTCTGCACCAGCTGAAATGACAAATTTTACTGCAATCAATATGTGATGAAACTTTGACTTTGTTGATATATGAATATTTATATAGTATATACAATACATTTGAAACTGAAATGTGACATACTACTAATGTACAAACTGATTACAAACCATGATAGCTGGTTCATACACCAAACTTTTAGTTTTCATTCACTTTGAAAAAGTTGTCAACAATGTATATAAATAGACTTTGAAGTGAAAGTATGGAAAGTGTCACATTCTGACAACTTTCTTCAAAAAAAAAAGTTTGGTGAATGGAACAGCTATAATTATTATATATAAAGAATTTAATATATGATAAAATGTAAGTTTTGTCAATTTGTCAGAGAAGAAATTAAATATTTTTTGTATACTGGACTAATTGCAGGCAAGAGATTTCCTACTGATTATATTATTCCATTTCTATGTGATTTTCAACTGACGGCAAGGCACCGTCATATAAATACCTAATTGTTGTTCATATTTTCCTAGATTGAAAAGACACCATAATGTGTACAGTTTTCTCAAAAAAACGCTCTGGGAAAGAGACTGACACTTTCTCTGAAAATATCCACAACTCAATGAGTTACTCATTTAGTATAAGATTTAACACCACAATTTTTGCAGTTTCGTATATCAATAATATACAAGTCACCACTACAACTTTCCACAATGATATAAAGTAAATTCCGAAAAGTTCATCCTATATAACTATTCAAAAAAAACGACTAGCGACTACATATTTCAATCCATATAACTACAAACAGTGTTGCCACCCGTTATTTCATTGTCCTTCTTTGATTCAGATATTTTCTTAATAGATTTAATACATTATTTAGGTGCGCAGTTCATTAGGGAAGATCAAAACATCACCATTTATGAAAAAAAATCCACTTCGATAGGTATGAACAGTTTTTACGGTTTCAGCCTTTTCATACAATACAGTTTGTTTTCACAACTAATACATTGTGGAAGGCACTTCATATTTCACAGTAAGCCAATTTAATATCTTATTATCAATTTTAACCTCAAATCGGGAATGGCTCTGTCTTAATCTTTCATGTACTGGAAAATTTAAATTGTCAGATATCGGTGTTGACAAATGAAATAAGAAATATAAAATATTTTCTAACAGAATGATTAATAAAGTACTGACAAATTTTATGAAACTGACCTAAGATCGAACACTAACCAGTGAATTTCAAAAATAAAAGCGATTGTTCATTAGAAGGTTAGGTTGTTCGGTAGTAGCCACATAGTTTAGTTTTCATTAGTTTGTGCCAGTTGGTGTACTACAAAAAAAAACTCTTGAATAGGCCCTAGCAGAACTTGGTTTTAGTTCTGTTAACGGATCCGGTATGGCGCTGTTGTCAAAAATCTGTTTCTGGGTTTCCGTGTAAAACAGATTACCTACTATCCAACACGAGAGGCAAAACCGCCCAGTCCGTACAAACGTTGCCAAGCGTGCCCAGTTCGTATTTCGCGGGAAATTCAAAATGTAACTCAGGAACTACGCTAATAAAAACGACTTTATAAAAATAAGAGTTTACCGCCAAACAAAAAACATACATATCGAAATGGTAATAATCAACAATATTGGTGGTCACTTATAGGTTGAACTGATTTGTCAAAAAATACATCTTCAGGAGCGTGTAATACGTTTTTTGAATTGTGATTAGTTATTGTGGGGAGGCCCACTGAAATGTTTTTTCTGAACGCGTTTATTTTTTTTTTTGATAATAACATAAGTACAAAATATGATTACCTTTGGGGTGCAACACTGCAACACCATTTGTTATCTTTGTGGCAACATTTTGTATTTCAGTTTTTGGCAATCTAATATGTTGTATATCAAGCTTATGACCATAATGTACCTTTTGTCAGTCTACCAGAATTCTGTTGTTTTCTTCAAAAACTTTGATTTCGCTTGTGCAATTCAACAATATTAATGTTCAATCAGCCCTTTTTGAGATATAACCTGTTTGAGTTTCTTATTCTATCTCACCCTTTATCAAATTGCACTTTTATAGGGTTAATATTTATTTTGATTTTTGAAATATAGGTACCCTTTCTCAACGACTACTAAAAGTTGCACCGCACCGCTTCTGAGATGAATAAGATATAGGTTTTGGATTTTTTTGGTGCACTTCTCGTATATGTATGTTATGAGATGATTGTGTGGCATATACATTCTCACATATACTACATATAACTGACATTTTCTGAATTCAAATTTCTTTACAGGTAGGTGAAAAAAATAAACCACAGTATAATTAAAACAAGTTCTAACACATAACCTGATTTTCAAAGCATAGTTTGTAATTTCCCGCGAAATAGAAACTAGGCACCGTTGGTACGGACTGGGCGGTTTAGCCTCTCGTTTATCCAACATCCAATGGTCAAACGTCAATATCGTCGCAAAGTACGTATAGGTGTTCTTTGATGTACTATTATCTGATGCACAAACTGACGACAGGTGCATTTCTGTATCCTCCCAACTGAAAAAAAAGCTGCATCAGTGGCGTAGCTTGAGGAGGCAGTGGAGGCCACGGCCCCAGGCGGCATACGAAAGGAGACGGCAGGAAGCGCCAATTTATTGATTTGGAAAATTAAAAAAAATACTTAGATATTCAAAATCGCGTGCGCAATTTTACGTATGTGCCAAGCTAAAGGGTAAGTTAGCGTGCGAAAGAGAGACGGCGAACGAGGTGGAGTCGAATGCAGCGGAAGTGGCGACAACCGCACTATATCCTTCTTAAGAATAACAAATTTGCCATTCTTGCTATAGAAAACGATATAAATGTTTATATGGATGGTTGTGTAAAGGACTTTGCGTTGAAAATAGCACGTTAAGTAAATTTTCAATCAAATTTTTGTGCCTATTCTGACAGAGATTTTCACGGACGATTTGGAGAGAAGAATACACAGTAACCCACTGGTAAGAAGTTTCGTGTATTGGTATAGATAAGTGGATGATATCCTGGTATGTTTCACGGGAACGAACAGACAGTTGACAAAATTTTTGAAGTTCATCAATTCTCTCCACCCTTATATCACATTCACAATGGAGATGGAACAGGACGAATCTATACATTTTTTGGACTTGACAATAACAAAAGTAACAAAAGTTAACAACAAACATGATTTTTCAATTTATCGTAAACTGGCACATACAGATATTATCATTCATAATTCGTCCACTCAGCCATATCAGACTGATAAATGTACCCTTGTCAGAAGCGAATTTCAATAAAGAACTGAATATAATAAAGCAAATAGCCGTTAACAATGATTATGACAGTGGTCTAATACATTCTTTATTATCAAAAAAGTTATATAGTCAAAGAACCTTAACCTACTTAGGCCAACCCACTACAAATATTTCAGATTTTCTGCACAGCAAAGGTGTAAGTACTGCTTTCAAAACCAACAACAACTTGGGCATGCACATTGAAAATAACAAAGATGAAAGTTCAGTTTCAGAAAAATCAGGAGTGTATAAATTATCGTGTGGGTCATGTCCGATGTTTTATATAGGTCAAACTGGAAGAACGTTCAAAACTCGCATAAAGGAACACAAATATAGTTTTCAGAATGGAAAAATAAATTCCACATATGCCAGTCATTTAATCTCAGAGGGACATGAGTTCAACCATGAATACAAACCCCTCCATTTCCAGAAGAAAGGTTTGAAACTTAACCTGTTGGAGATGATGGAAATAAACAAATTCAAAAACTCTCAACATCTTATGAACGATCAAACTGAATTGAATAATTCGCCATTATTGAATCTGTTCATTCGCAGGTAAAAATAGTTAGGTATATTTACAGGTAGACTTTCGAAAAATGTATTGATACCTGACCTTTTCAGGTAGATTTATTATTTAGGTAGGCGAAAACGTACTAGGTTATAGTATAAAATGTTGTAATTTAGAAGTTTATGCTTGAAGAAGCTATTGTATAGCGAAACACGTGTCGCGTTTTTTAAAACCCTTTTATAGTGAAAATCATACAATAAACTATATTGATTAGTTTTTTAATATGGATTTTCACAATTATCGGCCAGTTCTATTCAATTATCAAAGAAATATTCTAGCTTAAGGATTAGTGCAGGTTTTACGAAAATAGGTTGACGGATTCACCTACTGATCTCTTTTATGTTGACTTAACACAAGTTCATATCATTTGCTGTTATAAAATCGTTGAATCCCAGCTGAAGGTGAGGCCCATATTTGATTCCCTTAATTTGAAATGTAACGTTAATTTGTTAGTCAAGTATCTTGTTGTCTGCGTTAGGAGATTATAGTTGGCTATAGTTTATGTCAGCATTGGTGGTTTGACCAACCAATGCCGACATAAAATTAGGCAAACTAACTTGGGCGTCACACAGGTGATTCCACTTAGGTCTCGCTAGCGTTAAATATATATTCAAACATCAAGATAGTTTCCTTCATGTTAACGACAAGCAGAACGAATATGTGATAAGAGTTAACGGACGTCACATGGATTCTCTGAACATAAATTATAGGTTTGTTCTGGTTCTAACATCCGAAACTGTTTGGAAACTGCGCAAGACATGATGCGTACAAGCAAAAAATCTCAAACAGTCCGAAATACTCTCGGACACTTGGTTAAACCAGAACGCATTTTGAGGAGACCTTTCGTATATATGAAGAGATTAAGACGAGAAAATACTGTTGATCATGTCCATTTTGTTATGTAGCGTATCCCTGTAGTCAGTTTAAATGTTATTTAACCTCAATCATCAATTATTTAAATGAAATAAATAAAAAAACATCCTAGAAAATAGCCCAAACAAATTTCCACATGAATGTGTATGAGCAATGGGAACAGTTCTCAACAGTCAGCCTCTAGAGCAAGAACGATTCGGAACGGTTCAAGACAGTTTAGGTAGGATCATTTCGCAGTCGAAACCACAACAGAGGATTCATGAATCCGAACTTATCCTCAATAAACCAGAACGCTCTATATCAACTGCGCATGATCCTGACGTCCTAGAACCTGAATTTAGTAGAACCATAACAAACCTACCACAAAATAACAGGACCGGTTTTCTGCGAGACAATCAGTTTGCCATGTTTGGGTAAATGTCCCATTAATAACGCATTACTATACTTAGTTTTTGATCACGTTTACTTACATTTTGATAACGTTCTATGAGTTTGCATACTGGTACTGCTGCAGGGGCTATCCTTATCGTTATCTCCTTCTATTTTTCGACAAGCTTGCACATTGATGTCATAAAGAGTATAATGATGGAGCTTGTTTATGGTGAAATTGGTTTTTCCATAAACCGGAAAGTTGAAAGATTCCCAGATGTCAGTACCGTTTTCGGTGACATTTATAATTTGGTTGTACATATGTGACTGTAGTTTATTAGAGTTCTTGGGAAATTCCGGAGGAGAACGTTTCTTTTTTTGAGGCCTATCGAAAAAAAAATAGCCAAATTATCAGGTTGAAGTAGAAGTTAAACATTTGAAAACAAAAACTTTCCAGTCCAACAGTGTAAAAACTTTTCTTGGTATTTATTATGTGGAATGGTGGTAGTATTGTGAAAGCAAGTTTGTCACTTCGTATAGGACTTGAGCAAAACTCTCAGGAAATTTCAAGACCTTTTTCAGTTTTTGGAAGATATCTTTAAATGACAGCTCCTAGCATGAATGAAATTACTACAAATTATGAGGAGTAGGTATAAAATTGTCTGCAAAACGAATTGGCTAGTTTATCTTTAGAAATAACTTTTACATGAACTGCGGTGCTTTCAAATTGAAAAGAAAACTAATAAAAATCGAAATACACATATTTAATTAACACCTGTTTTGATCCTGTTTGGAATACGTGTACGTAGCAGATTATATGTTTTGATTGCAGATTACTATCAATTTTTTTATAAATACTGGGTTGAATTCATTTGATATGTTCAATTTTACTGAAAATATTCTTCATAGAATATAATACATCAAATTGCTCGTCGTTGAAATAAATAAATAAATATTACATTCAAATTTGTTGAACAATGGACTTCTTATGTCTTGCTATTTTTGCTCAAATGCCAATAAAACCATTCTGAATAATAGGTAAAATTTCAACATCTGGCGTAGAGTTTTTACAATTTTTACATATATTTCAGATAATTTTCAGAAATGATTCAAATGGTCTTTGGAATCACGTTTGCGAATCCCTCAAAAACACAGTGGTATTTTTACAAAATGGCACTATATGGTAATTGTATTTTGGCGCTCAACTTCACGACTAGTTAGAGGACCCTTAATCCAAAGTATTCACACTTGACATTTTGGCAATAGAAACATTTTGGCTAGGAATTGCATTTAGAAGATATTTCGTGAAAACTGAGAAAGGTTATGAAATTTGTGTTTTTATGTCCCCAAAAGTGCTTCTCCGGTCAAGGTCACGACCCTATTATCTGTAAACAAATAAATGGCTTCAAAAATGTCTTAATAAAATCTGAACCTTGAGTAGATGATATTTTGTCGAGCTGAATTCTCGCAATCGAAATTTTACTATAACAATTGCCCTAATTCTAAAATGTATAAACTAGAAAAAAAAGTACGCTGAACTGATTGAGAATTGACGTAATTACTGACCTTTTTTGGTACACTTCATTATGAAGTTTATCTTCAAATTTTATTCTTGCTATTTCCTCTTGCTCGTCAATGGTTATCCTCATTTGACGATTATCGTCACACTGGCATGTATCTTTTTTTGGAGGGGCAGGCGTATTAGTAGGTGAATGGTCCTCTTTCGGGAGTATCGTTGGAGCTTAATAGAAGAAAAATATATCATTAAGATACAGTTGGAGTATCACAAATACTGAAACATACATGAATACCAATTTTTCTTACTCAAAGAGGTAAACTCCGTTCAGAAAGTCATTTGTATTTCTTTATTGGAACCCTCTACATATTTTTCTCATCAATTATATTTTTTTAGGACTACATCCAACGTGAAAAGTTCACAAATGACCCGAACTATACAACATAAGGCTGTAATAGTACCCTTGAACAAAAAACATGTCAACTGAAAGCGGCAGCTTTACCTTTTACCTTGAGATCTAAAGCTGAGTGAAGACAGGCGTGTTATATAGTAATTTATGGTGCATTCGAGAATACATTTTGAGAATTTCATCCAAGGCTAACCTCGCTAACGATGTTAGATGTTTGATTCCTGACATTATCTGAGTATTCATGAAAAATAAAGATATTACACTACTAATAGTAATACACTTCGTGTATTATAATGATAAGTATGCGAAGAAACTTTTAAAAACATCATATTCCGATTCAGAATTGTCTCAGCAATCCAACATTGTTGAAATATAAAATTTTCCATTTAAAAATTCAAAATCGGAGCCATTTTTGATGAAACGGGAAATAACCGGAAAGTGAAAAATATGCGAAACCTCTGGTCATGACTGGTCTAACAGATTCGTTGATATCCGGTATATAAAACTGGTTCAAGTCTGAATTATTAGTTGTGATTGTTTATGTGTAGGTCAGAAAGTTTTGCCAATTTTTGTAAATGGCATTAGAATTCAATGGGCTTTCAAATGTATTATAATTCACAATAGTAGAATCAACACGCTTTTCAACTTGTGAACTGGTTTCTCACGAGAATACTAAAAGGTATAATTTGTGTGAATCTCATTCCATTTTCATATCACAATGACAAGTGTGCTGATATCCTGAGAAATGTTCTCACCTCACCATCAGCCATAATATTATGTCAAACAGTTGTAATAAATAATTGTCTACCCGTCTCTGTAAAAAATATGACATATCCAAACTGAAAAATCTTTGAATCACATATCCACATCCAGTACCTTCCACCAGGCGCAAAATTCTCATCGCCAAAATCGTATAAGGTTATTAGTTAATGTTTACAACAAAAGTATGAGCATGCTACTTATGTTTTTTGTTGAAGACACTCAATGATAGATATCCGTTTCTCTCCATGAAATTGCTGGTTATTTCAACTTTTTTGGAATGTTAACTTGCATTATCCACTACAAGCACAGACCACATTCCACTACAATGTGGAATGAGGTCTAAATATTCTTCTTGCTCAAAATATTCTTCAAACACATCGCCGTTTATGTCATCATGTCAATCGCCAGAATGCTTTGACTCAAACATCAGCACTTCCAATGTGGGTAATAATAATCAGCCGCTTTCCGTTTCCAGAAGATGAATTTAATCTGGTAGATCAGCCTTCGGAAAATGCTAGACGTAAACTTGAAATGTTTTTATCTGCCACATCTATCTAACGGTACACCGTTCCGTTTGGCCAAATTTCATCCAGATAATAAATGTTTCAATCCACATGTTGAAACTCTCTTATCTGCCTTAGGTAAGGCCTTCAACAGTTGAAATAATTGAAACACAACTGTAAACTATTGAATGTGATGCTTTTTTCATTAGTCATGAAAAACACAATTGTCCGCAAACTTGTGGAAAAAAAAAGTTGTTTCAAAACATGCCAAATTTTGATAACAAGAACATTCAGTCAGGTTTGCTATGCTTTCTTGAGCTGGAATAAGTGGAAAAGAGGAAGAAATAATGAATGTTCTCAATGTTGTTTATACATTCATTGATATAACTGATCGGTGTTAATTTGTCAACATTTTGGAGAAAATTTGTTCATTAATAGTTTATTTGCCAGATAATGTTTCTATTATTGAGTTACAGACGAGAAAAATATTGAAAATTGATCATTTTTCCACGGACATACAGAAATAAGTACTGAACATCCCATACTCACAAGTCATGTATTTTTTTTTCTGGTCTTGGCAATCCTCTGTAAACATGTAACCGTTCTGATGTTTTTTGCCAGATACAATATAATGCGTGATTTGACCGTTGGGATGAGTCGGAGGTGCCCAAGTTATTCTGAGCGAGTCATATGAAGTACTTATCACTTGCAAATTCACTGGAGATGAGGGCACTACAAATAAAATATTTTTCATTATTATTCAACAAACAAAATTTCAATAAATTTACTTGAAGGTAAGGTACGGAAATATTGAATTTCACTCTGGGATCCATTTCTCTCACTAGCAATTGTGTATGTTCTCACATAAAACGCGTATTGGGTGTAAGGTTTCAAACTTGGTAATAGTTGATCAATAGGCAACTCGTGTTCTTGATTGGGAACATCAACTACTCGCCAACTGCAAAAAAATAACAAAGGAAATATTATTATCGGAAATTACACACAAATGCATTTCGGAATTATAAAGGTTCGTACAACGGTGATAATAATAGTAATAACGATAATACTTATACCGAGGCGAGAAATATAGCGATGACGACTCTCCTTATGAAGATGCCATCTATAGAATCGACAGTACACTCAATCCACAAATATAAAAGCCAGACTTCGACATCGACCACCGAATGAAATTCGTCCTCGGTCTCTCACTGCAAGGCAGCTAGATGAAAACAGACCCAGAAAGAAAGTATTCATGAACATGCACCAGGCAGCAATGTTTCGACTCGTCGAAGTCTCATCAATGGTGCTAGGCTAAACCACGAATGATTTGCTGAACTAACTATCCTAGAAGGACAAGTCTGAGTAAATAAAGAATTTGACATTTCCCCTTACAAAGACAGCATCTATGGGATCGATAGAAGACTCAATCTACGAATATCAAATGTAAACGAAGCTCTTCGACGCGGTCCGTTGCAAAGCCAGGCTTCGACATCGACCGCCGAACGAGATTTGTTATTTGTCTTTCACTGCAATGCAACTGGATAAAACCAGTGCCCTGAGACAACTCATTCGTGATCCAACACCAGACAGCGCTGTGTCGACACCTCTGAGTGTCATCAGTAGTGCTAGGCTGAAACACAACATCAATATAAACATCGTCTATATATGACAGCTGACACTGATGACAAATACACAGAATAGCCAACATGGAAAAAACATGTGCTGTCAAAGAAATCCCTATCTGGTATGGTCCATTGCTAAATTCATCCGCTAGATAAAATCAAAGCCATTCCTCTTTTTGGTCCTAGACGTGATGGTTATGAGTGTTCTGCTGATCCCATTGATGGAGCGTTTTTGAAAAGGGGGTGGTTATCGCCGTTTTGCATTCAGGGGTTCATCTCGTTACTTGCGACTCACCCTGTAAATAAATGATGTACTGTACCTACTCGATAATATGAATGAATAAATATGGTTCTCTCGATCATACTGATGGGAAATTTTTGTAAAGGGTGTGATGATCGCTGTTTTGCACCCAGGGAACCATCTCGTTACTCGTAACTCACCCTGTATATACATAGTCTACTCGATAATATGGATGCCTTGACAACTTTGTTCGGGGAGTTGAGAGAAAACACCATCAATCCAAGAAGTGGTTTGCAGCTAATGAACTGATTTTCAATGAAAATGATATCAAAATACATATTTTGTAAATACAAACACTTTTGAAGATGAAGTTGGGTTTTTACGACATACTATTGATCCAAGTCTGAGTTGGAAAAAACATATCCAGCAGTGAACTTCGAAGCTGCTCTTCATGCTCACTATAAAATGTTTCATAGGAACATTCCTGTCATACCTCATCAGTATTTATCGTCCTCACGTGTATTAGGGTGGTTACCAAATATTGAGAATTGTGAACCATTTCATATCAAATTTGAGACAACATACTTTCCTCAGTTCTAGTATATTATATTTTACTTCACGTAAAAATACATAACTAGCGGGTGAGTGGAGATAATCACACCTATTCCACAAAGACCAGCTACCAATATGAAATTTTTTGCAACAGGCTAACATTCACTGAACCCAGAACCACTGACAGATTTCCCAATATCTAAGTTCAAACAAGTACTAAAACATAATCTTTTACCACCTACTAGGACAAAACAGTTCTCATAAAGTTGAATTTTATATATGTACCTATAAAACCAGCTCCAGATTTTACCGTTTCATTTTTAGTCTCAATTATATTATTAATTGTATTTAATAATATCAAATTATTGATTACTTCTCATGTGTATATTGTCCATACCGTGTTTTTGAAGATTGTATTAGTAGTAAGCACTATAACTTGTCAAAACACATTTATGTAAATCATGAATAAAATACATACATATTCGAAATTCCTACTGGACCAATCTTTCTCTAACACATATGTCCTTTCGTATGTCCTTTCCCTATTTAGGAAAGACAATCAGAAAATTTTTTGAGCTAGCAATACATATACCTACAGTGCATTTTTTTAATGTCCCTCTTCTTTTTTTTTGGGAACGAGTCAACTCAAAAAAATTCAAATTTGGGAAATAACATTAATGCATGGATACTCTATTTTGAAGTGAAATTGTCAGATGAAACTTTCAAGATGGCGACTGGGTGCCACCTGGGGAAAAATAATTAAATGGAAAGGGGGGTCTTGTGACACATCATTTTGAAGCTCCTGACGAATACTTCACAACCCTAGAATATAAAGTCAATATCTTCACCTACTACAAAATGGCGGAATATTTAATAATTTCCTGAAGACGAACACATTGATATCGATATTTCTAGAAATATTCCTTTTTATCTGCCATATTGCAGTTCCAACAACCCGATAAGTTTTGTTGAGTTATTTTCTGTTTATAAAAACGACAAAAAATATCAGTACAACAATCATCATCATTGTTCAGTTAGAATATTCTCATTTAATTTTCGGTAGAAAGGTACCACGTCAACAATCTCTAAAATGCTCAATTCTTGTCCATTGGAAAAAAAAATTGAAACGATTTTTATTTATGGTGCAACGCGTAACTTTCACGAGACCGAAAGGATTTTCAAGGAACGTTTTCCGAGTCGTCTTATCTGTAGAAAATATTTGAGGGAACTTGTATCCAAATTCACAACTATCCTTCTACTGTGTGGACACTTTTGAAGAGGAACAGGTATCATCCATACAAAATAAAAATGGTACACCAATTAACTGAAGATGACCCTGATCGAAGAACAGAATTCTGCGAAATCATGACGGAAACCATCGCAAGGCATCCTACCTATCTTCACAATATGTGTTTCAGTGACGAATGTACATTTTTTCAAACGGCAATGTTCATAGACAAAATTGCCTTTATTGGAGTGACACGAACCCTCACGTTTTCCGGGAAACACATATCCAATATCCAAAAAAAATAACGTTTGGGCAGGAATATTAGGAAACCATATTGTAGGACCTCTATCTATTGATCAAACTTCAACAGGGAACTGTATTTGAATATGCTGGAAACTACTGTTGACCCTCTCACTGAAATCATCGAAACGAATCCTAATGAATTCAATATGGATATTGTAGTCCAACAAGATGGAGCACCACCACATTACTGCAGACAAGTAAGAAGGTATTTGAATACTACTTTTCCCGGTCGTTGGATTTGCCGTCGAAGCCCTACAGACTGGCCAGCCCGCTCGCCAGATTTGACACCTTTGGACTTTTTTATAGGGCTATCTGAAGCAAACGGTGTACGAAACTGAACTTGCTTCAATATTGGACATACGGCAGAGAATAATAAATATTTGTAGAGATATTGACGTTAATGTGTTCAAAAATGTTCGGCGTGAAATATCGGATAGGCTGTTCATATGTCACGAAGTTCAAGGCAACTATTTCGAGCATCTTCTGAACTGACCTCAAGCTAATTACCTCATATAATTCAGTTAAGTGTCAATGTATTCAGGCAATTCTTGAAAGTTCCGCCATTTTGTAGTAGTTGAAGATATTGACATTATATTCTAGGGTTGAGCATTTGTCAGGAGCTTCAAAAAGATGTGTCACAAGACTTTCCTTTCCATTTAATTTTTTCCCCAGATGGCGCCCAGTCGTCATCATGAAAGTTACATCTGTCAATTTTCCTTCATAATGAAGTATTCATGCATTGATTTCATTATACCAAATTTCAATGTTTTGAGTGGATCTGTTCAAAAAATAAAAGGGGGGGAATTGAAGAAAAGCACTGTATAAGGTATCAGAAGTATTTGTATGTTCTGAATAATTCAAGCTAATTTGATTTTATCACGTTCGACTAATGAAATGGAGATGAATTCATAATTTTCAAACATATAGCTTACTCATCTAGGCCACATGCATCTCTTCCATCATACAAGGTGACATTCCGATAAGGAGCTTCTCTGATGTAAATGATATAGGCCAACAACTTCCGTTGATCATCCATATGAAAAGGTTTCCATTTCAAAGTGACCGATTTATTGGTGATATTTGTAACATTAACTTTCAGCGGGGTTATATTACCTGAAAATTAAAAATCGCATTGAATTTTAAATAGCTTGATAGAAATGAAAAAACTTACAAGCAGTTTTGTCACCGTTCGAATTTGATGCAACTTCCAATTCCGTAAAATTTTTTATTCCAGTAATTTCTGCTAATTTCTCTATTTTATTCAGGCATAATTTCGGATTGAAATGGAAATACAATGTTCCCCTGTCTATTGTCAAGGTTCTGTTACGCCAATCCCAAAGTTCCTGTAAGTTTTGGTTGTCTAACACGATGAACACAAATTTGTTGCCCTCCAGATTCACACCTCTGATTCGCTTGAGACTTTTCAAAAAATTCAACGAAACCAACGAAAATGATCTCACAATTTTAAGGTAATCTGATATTTCTTCGATCATTCTCAGATTCTCCTCTAGTTCAGTTACATTTGCTGCAAAAACATTCAATAAATCATACGATATGGCTTTTTTGGGGTTTGAACTTACTTCCTCCTCTAATTTGGATTTCGAGGGCACCTTTGATATGAGTACAACCTCTCAATTGCTTCGCAACAGTAATACTATCGATATTGATGCCGTTACAAGTTTTGTTGCATCTTCCTGAAATCATTAAAAAGAATTCAACTATACATTGTGAACTGAAAGATATAAAGAGAAGAAAATACATAATACATCAATTCTGGTTTTTGTTTGTAAATATCTTACGTTGAGTTATCAAAACGAATATTATTCGTGGCACAATATTTGCTAATGATTTTGCATTTTTTTTAAACTAGTAACCTGATGAGCGTATGGTGTATGGTTGTACTATAGATAATAGAATATTGTTTGTTGATGTAAGTCTAACTTAGGTACTAAGAAATTGATTCCTTCCAGTAAATGGAGTAGTCAAGCTGCCCCTTAAACAGCTTAGAAAGAGTGGCTGACTCATTAAGTTACGCCTATCATGTGTTGAAAGAGTTCGAAAGAACCATGTAGTCATACATTCTTTCGGGATAATAACCATGACTTTTAAAGGCGAAGTACTATTATAAACATTTCCTCTGCATTCCTGTGATTGAATAATTCAGATGAAATTCTCCGCTGTTGTTACAAGCGCACACCGACAAGTCAATAAAGGAATATAAAAAAATTATTTAGGAAATTTGGGATTCATCCTTTAATTAACACAATACTTATGATGAGCAATTTCATGAATTAAATGACAGAAAAGTATCCTGTCAAATTTCCCTTGAGTGGGATAAGTTTTGAGAACTTGTATCTGCATATTCTCTGAAAGATTTTTTTTGTGGAGGACTCAATATTTTATACTGTTTTTTTGGGTTTATAACCTGTCACAATCTGAAAAAATAAAGGATAATTAAGTAGGGAATCTGTAATAACGGGCAAACTGAAATGCTCACGTCAAAAAGTTACTGCGTATTATAAACCACTGAAGAGTCTAATTAATTAGTAACTTGTCCTATTCATAAATTGCCTCCAAATTGAAAAAAATCAATTGAAAAAAATTAAATATTTATACTTAGCTTTCTTTAGTGGTCGACGTTTCGGAAAATTATCTTTCATCGTTTTCAAAACCTGAAATTCCTTTCTAAACTTTCGCCTCAAATTATGAATAACTTCAATTCATTTGACATAAATCAAAAGAATGATATATCCAGATATTATACGCGATAGTCTACATGAATATATATACTGGATGTTTTTTGAGTATTCAGTTAAGAGTCATATATCTGTTGAAATATGAACCTTTACCGAATTCTCAAAAAACACCCAGTATATGTATTCAGGAAGACTATCGCATATGACATCTGGACATTTAATTCTCTTGTATGTCAAAAGAGCTGGAGCTATTCACAATTTGAAGCGTAAGTTTTAAAGTAAAAGTAAACGGAGAGAGATTATTTTCCGAAATGTCAATCAAGTAAAAATATTTAATTTTTTTCAATTTGTAGGCAAACTGTATGAATACAAGTTACTGACTAATAAGACTATTCAGTGGTTTATTAATATTACGCAGTAAATTTTCAGTTTACCCTTTACTTAAATCTATTGATTTAGCTTTGTATATTTTTCAGATTTTGAAAGGTTATATACCTAAAAACAGTAGGTTGTATCTGCATATTCTTTATTTTTTGTCACACGAAGCGTAAATTAATTTGCTTCTACAAATATTTCGATGTTTGGCGACATGTTGATTCAGCTGAAAAATCAAGAGCAACTGAAGAATTGCCTGTGTGCGGGTTCTCATAATAAACAATGCGATCTTTCAGAATGTTTAAAAGTTTGAAAAGAACTGCTGCAAAATAGTTGTTAATCATTTACCTCCACATGGATCGCATGTATGATCTTTGTAGTTATCAGTGTGGTCTGGCGGACAATGGAGTATGCAGGAATTTTTATGAACCTTGTACGGTGTTTCAGGCTCACTTGTAGCATGGAGTTCAATTGGCTTTGGCATTTTCTTACATTCTTCAGGTGAGATGCAGCGTCTGTCCAAATACTGAAAAAATAAAAAAATAACTTTAATACAAAAATTATATCGGGGTTACCGAAAAAAATAAAATTTTCTATTTCCAAAAATACCAAGTTTTTGTCAGTGTTCAGGTAATTAGAAATAAATATTTGAATATTATAGTTAGCCTTTTGTCTCATACTTTAGTCATAAGATGTGCATTTTTTTACTGGAATGGGAACAAAGAAAGGTCGATATTTCTAGACTTTGTTTTACTTTGATACCTCGGTCAAAATTTATTCAATTGTTTCCTAATGAATCATTAAAATTAGTTTACCAGTTTCAAGTACAATAAAACATCACTTTTTTCAATAGCTCATTTAGTTTAATCAACTCAATTTTGGCGAAGACCTCAGAGCTTATTTTATGAATTTCAGATAACCTTTCAGTTTTTATCATCTTGTCCCTCATGAACCTAATCCTCATGAAGGATAAACGCAGGTTTGACAGCATGTTTTATGATTAGTTTTTCCAAAATTCCATCCAGCCCATTTTTTCTTTTCCTTGGGAGTCGTCTAATTTCTTCAATTTTCCGGAAATTCCTGCAGCCTCATGGGCTTATTACGTTTTTTCTCCTTTTTTTCATGATACCCGTTCCAATAACCTTATTTCTAGCACATTAGTTGCATGTTGGTTTATATGGAATAACAATAAAGTTGTGGAAACGTTGTGGATTTAGGAAGATACCCCTTAAATTCACGTATCCTTATCAACTATTTTCGTTGCTTAAAAGGAACGTAAAAAGTCGATGTACCAGAAAATGTAGTTCTGACATATTTTTTGTTGTGAATGTTTATAGAAAGAATACAATTTTTTTGAGATATGTTCCTGAGATATCACAAAAAAGATATTCTGATTGTACGAGGATATCTTTTTAGAGTGAGATTCTGAAAAAGGAAGAAAATGAAAAAATAAATCACAGATGAAGGTTTTTGTTTTATACAATTTTATGATTTTGAGAAACGACTTATTCGTTCAACTTCTGTCAATGACTCACCATGAAGAATACTGTTCATAGCAAGCTCATTTTCACTTTCTTTAATTCCTAATATGTATTTTTCCATAAACTGATCTTTCCTAAAAATATTCATTTTTCACAAATAAAATGTATGTGGCTGCAATCGAAATAACTAATAGTCTCATTTTAACTGTTTTCAATCCAAATGAAATCTAAACGTAATTTGAAGAATATTGGTGAAAAAAATTATCTGCGATGTTTCAGAAAACAGTTATATAGAGGGCGTGACGTCACCAGATACACGAATCAATTTGAAACATTTCTAAATGGTGTGGACGTTCATTTATATTACTCGGTTGCTTGTATTAATTTGCCCACGTTGTAGAAGTATGGAAGATAAAAATGTTCAAAAGAATTATTGAAGAGTATGTGGGTGAACATATTCAATCCGATTTGATATACAATATTTGTTTTTCTGAATAATGCTGTTTTATTTAAATCATGAAGTGAATAGACACAACTATCGATACTCTAGCGATACTAATCCTCATTTGTTTCAAGACCCACGTATAAAGAAACCTCAAAAGAATCAATGTATGAATTGGTATCTTGTTGACTGTTGGCCCTCTTTACGACTGAAATTATTTGGAAGCCAAAGATTCCTGTTTTACCATTTACTGTTGAGAAACACAAAAGACGTTACCGTGTATATGTAATATAAATAAAAAATATCGAATATGTGGTATGCAGACATATGAAATGAAAATTGAATTGAAAAAAATGTGACACGACCGAGATTTGAAACAGGCTCTCTCTAGACAGGCGCATTTACTAACTACGCTATACGAGTCACAAGGCAGAATGAGTGCTGAATCACATTCAGTCTTTGGCATCAGAAGATTATTTTGTTGCATTATTTTATTTCAATTCAGTTTTTCTTTCATATTGTATTGTTGTGAAATACGAAATAAAAATAGACATCAGGATACGATCAATAGGTACGTATATAAATTGGTGACCCTCTTCAACCCCTATCCGAGATGAAGTTTCTTGTTTTCCTTGTACAGCCTGGAACATTCGAGACTATTCGAGAGTAATCGAGAGCATTCCACAACATTCCAGAACATCCCAGTACGATCAACGTAGTTATATGGTGTGGTAGCCATCTACCTCTTATCCATGAAGAAGGGGGTGCTTTTGAAGATATGAGGGCTGGAAGATTCCCGTCTAGAAATTTCTATAATATTCCAGAATATTCTCCTCAACATTCTAGAATATCCCGTATTGTTTTGGAATGTTCGGGAATAATCTGAAACATTCGGGAACATTCCGAAACATTCACAGTCATTGTGGAAACTTCCAGATTACTCTCCAATATTCTGGAGCATTGTGGACCATCCGAAGCTTTTTTCATGAGTGAGGCTACCCATATACAACAAGATCCGTCGTGGATTCGAAATATATCATTGAAGTGACAATATAAAATCTTATATCAACAACGTGAGTGATGCCAAGTATCCCAACCAGAAACAAATTATGCTGTTATACTTCCAATTATGTAAATAGTTTTCATTTGTTACGATACCATGCATTATTCCGTTGAGAAATTTGATGGGAAGATGGAAGAAAAAATAAAACTAGATTAATAGTACCTATTTCATCTTTATTATGCTACGTACACTAATTCTTGTTTGGCCACTGTGGAGAGATCATTAACAAAGTTGTAGCGATTACTTACTAAGTTGCCCATCAGTCATATTTGAAACGAGTGCTAGTCCCAATTATGAGTTTTGTGGTTCGACTAATTCTTGGTTTCCTGTCTAGTGTTTTCAGGATAGTCATTTTTATATTTTTTAATATTAGAATAGATTTTATTCCGATTTCCTGTGATTATTTTCTACTAGGTCCGCTACTGGAAAGTACAGCCGATTCAGAAATGAACTACATCATAAAAATTCATCCCATTTAGCAAGGCATTCCGATGAATTATCGTAGGTTCCTTGAAAAATGTTGTTTTTTCAATTCCTAATGTCCTTGTTGAGCGGCGTCCATGGGTACACAATTTATGGCGGCAAATTGAGCCTACATACGTCTTTCAGGCATATTCCTCAGGTAAGTGACCTTCGATCGGAGGGTGATGACGATGGCAGACTTGTTTACCATCACCTGTTTTCTCTTCTGCTTTTCTCAGAAAGGTCGACATAAAGATAGTGGGCCTGCTTATAGTTAACTCAAATAATAATACAAACGGCACATAGTTTTTCTGCTTGACAAAAATACAAAAGTATTTTGCAGCAGTTGTTGATTGACTTTAGAAAACTAGGTAATGGAATATACACAATAGGGTCCTTCAGTCAAATCTAACCTTGTGCATTTTTTATATCTTCAGATGATACTTATCAACCAGAATACAATGACAAAATATACAGGGTGTTCCTTAAACACATGCTAATATTTAAGGAGGTAATTCTGAGACCCATTTTAAGGAAAAAACCTCCTATGGACGTATGTCCTAAACGCCTTAACTTTTGAGATACAGGGTGGCAAAGTTTTCAAAAATAATCAGTTTTTTAAAAATAACTGAGATAATTTTGTAGACATCTTTGGCATATTTGGTACATATGTTCCATGCCTCAAGGCGCATTTTCTGATGTACA